ACACTCAGGAAGATGTAAATAAACAGGGAAATTTCTTGCGTAAATCAATCTAATTATATTTTTTTCGCTCAGGCGTTCGTGCAAATCATGGTCATTGATTCCGCGCCACGCAGCACTCGGCGCGGGCCGCGGAGGCGTCCGACACAGTTCTGATTTAGACACAGTTTTCATCTGAATGGAATGGCAACATCGTCTGTAGATGATTTCAAGTAACGCTGAACCAGCATTGCCAGATGGTATATTTCTATACCAGATTTCAAAAATCTGGCATTTTCAAAAGGTGTCTGGTATGAATATTTTAGATCTGGTATATATATATATGCCTAAATCTGGTATTTTTCTGGTATTTTCTGACTTACTGGTTCTAAGAGTCAGCACAGTAATGAATATTCATTCATAGATCACAATTCAATCAGACATGAATTACAGAACTAAAGATTAAAGAAGGCAACATGGCTTTAGATGTGCCATTGGTGCCTTCTAATGAATGACTGGACTGGTTGCGGCTATATATATATAAAAAAAGCTATATTTGTCAGTCTTTGGCCAACTATTTAAAAAAAGTAAGGTTTCCGATATGTTGGATGGATCAGGATGCAGTGAAGCTAGTCCGGAAATCAGTTGCAATGAGTTCCCGCCAAAAAAATGTAAACGTCAAGCTTACGATTGCGTAGTTGCAGTCACATTAGAGCGGTCAGACTTCATTATCACATGTTCAGTTGACACTTGCTGTACAATCAGACTGTTTTTAGGGTAAAATTAGTTACTTGGGGTAACATGTGCATGCAACCTTGTAAATAAGTTCGTGGCTTGTAAATAGTTTTACATTACTCAGTGTAAATGGCTTTTCATTAAAAATTACCTGGCGACGCATCTTAAAATTATCCAGTGACGCTTAGGGCTTAAAAACCCATATATTGGCGACGCTGCATCCACCCTCTGCACCCTGGCATATAGGTACCATACTTGGGGCCATGGTCAGGAAGATGTGCCAGGTGCGTGGGAATTTATATTGTCATTTTAACAACCTGCGCGGTGCGCCGTACTATGCTGGTAAAAGAATGCGCCGTACTTTTAGAAAGCTAAAATAGTTTAAATATGGACGCGCGGCAACGCAAATTACGTAATCACACTGACCGTACACACAAATGTGTATCCGCATTGTGTTGTGGTTGGATATGAGTTAACTAGATTGCTAACGCGTCAACTCAGGACTCAGGTTTTAGGAGTCAGCACAGTAATGAATATTCATTCATAGATCACAATTCAATCGGACATGAATTACAGAACTAAAGAAGGCAACATGGCTTTAGATGTGCCATCGGTGCCTTCTAATGAATGACTGGACTGGTTACAGCAAGTAGGGTATGAACCTGTACGTCAACAGTACGATCCTGCATGCCAATGTTGGGACTACATCCCCGACATCCTCCCGGCCGGCAAAATCGACAGGATCAATACCTAATAACAATGCACATAAATGGACTATACAAATTAAGTCAATATGGCATAATTACAGAGCGTAATTATACCATGTGATACAAAATATGAATGTATATATATGCAAGATAAGTCAATGGTCTGTCATTTATTTTTGCTTCATTTGAGCAATTATGGTTTCCAAATCTGGGTGCATTATGTTATGTCATGTGTACTTTGAATGTGCAAAAATTATAACTATCATATGAAAATTGTTATGTAGGTTATCATAGCATGAATTGCAATAGAGTATCAAAATTGCAGTTCTGCCACCACCCTTTATTGAATTATCCTGCCTTTTTTCTAAAATTCAATAATCTCTCTTCCAGCAAAGTTTGCGAAATTCATTAGCTGCACAAAATACTCTCTGCTGTGGTGTTCTAGTTTAGGTTGACATGACACCCATTTGCATGTTAAATTAAATAGCAAGCACTTTTGTTAAATGTTAACGATTAGATTGGGGTTATTTCATCAAGCGGTAAACTTGCGGTTCCAATAATGGCGGGAAAGCTCTAATCGCACCGCTCTGAAGGCAATCTATATAAATAATAATATAATCCATGCCTATGCTGGAGAAAGTTCAAACTTCAGAGGTGGAACTTAATGCAGTAAATTTGGAGTAACTCAGAAAATACCAGAAAGATACCAGATTTATGGATATATACCAGATCTAAAATATTCATACCAGACACCTTCTGAAAATACCAGATTTGTGGAATCTGGTATCAAAATATACCATCTGGCAATGCTGGCTTCAGTGTTACTTGAAATCTACAGACGATGTTGCCATTCCATCCAGATGAAAACTGTCTAAATCAGAACTGTGTCGGACAACTCCGCGGCCCGTGCCGAGTGCTGCTCGGTGTGGAATCGATGACCGTGATTTGCGCGAACGCCTGCGTGAAGAAAATATAATTAGATTGCTTCTCGCGAACTGCGCTGACCTAGGGCTTCATAAAACTATTTATGCGCAGGAAATTTCCCCGTTCATATACATCTTCCTGAGTGTTGACTTGGGGGTGGGGCTTATGGGCACAACCAATCACAGCTAGAAAGCAGATAACATAACAATTCCATTATCCAATCACAGCTGGAAAGCTGAAAGTGGCTAAAATACCAAACCAATCACAGATGGAATTCTGGAAAGGGATAGGGATAGGGTATGTATATAATGGACTGAAAGTGTAAAGTTCCTGGCTTTTCCAAGCTTACAGGTCCTGCTTTCCAATATGCTATGTGTACTGGTTAATTTATTATCCCTCTAGAATTCCACACACATAAGTGTCGGAATATACCGCCAGTGTCAGAATATTATACCGGTGGCAACACATTAAGGATGTAGCAAGAAATGAGTGGCTATTAAAATATCACCGTATGCGCAACTCAAGTTCTCATTGCTTTGCGTCACTCTCAAAACACCACACTATGCGCCAGCAACAAGGAAACGTCACAAACTCTTGCCATATTAATTTAAAAGCCTATAGAATTCAAACCTGCAAAATTGCTGAATTCAGATGCGGTGTGTCAGGGCTGGAAAAGTCCTATTTTGTCTGAAATATATAATTTCAGTAGGTATGAAATCTCACGGCTCAAATGTCATAAATTTTTGTTTGATTGAGAAATCGCAGTTTGCACTTTGCAAACATGTCACTTCATAAAATTTTCAATTTCCGCAATCCGCATTGCTTTACCATTCCCGCCAAATTATCCTGCAGTAAAAAACATAAACATTGTAATGTAAACAAATCTACTAAACGTTTTGTTGAAGATCGCGCATAGTTGCGGTCATGTCAAAGCGGTCAGACTGCATTAACACGTGCTCAACTTACAGTAAAGACAAATTTTATTGTTGCCATTTGACTGTTTTAGGGTAAAATTAGAGATTTGGGGTACCACGTGCTTAGACTTTGTAAATAAATTTGCGCCTCGTAAATGACTTTTCATGGCCGAGATCTGGAATTCAAGGCTCGGTGAAATGGAATCACGGCTTGAAGAAATGGAATCACTGCTGGCAAATCCATAAACCACGGCTTGAAAAATTCAGTCGCGGCTCGCCAAGTAGATATATTCCATGCCTGCTGTGTGCGACTAAATTTGGCATATTGTGAGACTAATTCCAGCAGCCCTTCAAACTCTATTAATTTGTAATTCTGGTGCCCTGTGTTGGAATTCCGACGCCCTAGGTGAGCTGTATTGGAATGCGACACAGCTAGGAATGAGCTTAATTAAAAAATTTTAACTTTTTATTTAGGCTTTTAATTAAGAGCTACTGAGCTTTTAATTAAGAAAATTTTAATTTTTGGACACAGCTCAGAACGAGCTCTGTGTGTCTAATTCCAAGCTGTGTCGGAATTAGTTTTTATGTCTCTAAAACCATCGCTTAACTTAATCATCTATTAATTTATTTACCACTTGAAATCAGCAAGTACAAGTATACTTGTATATACTAGTCTCAAACTATAATATTCTTAATAATTATATATATATATAATTATAATATTCTATAATATAATAATGTAAATACTAGTCTCAAACCATAATATTCTTTCAATGCAGAGTTTATCACTATTTGGTAGAGCAAGGCCAACTATCAACTTTGACACGTTTTTCGATGTTCTCACTGGGTGACGTGCACTGTCTCTCTTTGGATCTTAACATTTTCCTGCCAGACGGCCCAGACCTAGTGTTATGGCAATAATATGGCGTGCAATAGTATGATGTCACTTACGGTCACTATTTCAACCATCAACAAATGCGAGGAACTAAGACAAAGCTTAATGTAAAGGAAAAAAGTTGAGAAGTGTCGGAATTACCCACGATGTTGGAATATACCGTGTTTACCCTATTGAATGGCATCTTAGAAAAATTTTCATATGCAATTAGTAAGGTGCCAGTTGCAAAATAAAACAGTCCCAAATTACCTGTGTGAACGGGCTGGGACACTTGAAATAAAACTTAATTTTAAAATGTTTGAAGCATGCAGAAGCAGGTGGAAACAACTCAAACAAGTGTCCGGGTACTCCAGGATTACCCTGTTCCCAACCCCAGGGGTAATTTAGGATGCTTTTACTTTGCATCTGGTAGACTGGCACCATACGAATAGCATAGGGAATTTTTTTAGAGATGCCATACAATAGCTCTTGCTAAGAGCTTTAATATAAGCCCAAACTTGTTTATGAAATGTTTCATGGTAAGAAGTTAGCTATTGACAAAAGGCGCTCAAAATCGTCCCTTATTACCTACCCGTTTGACTTGACTCACATCAACAAAATGTGATCTCTCACTTGTTATCTCAAAATTTTTGGTTGAATTTGTGAAATTTTTTACTGCTACTTGTATTTTTTGGATTTGCACAAATTGAAGTTATAAATCAATAAACTTTCTAAACATTTTGATCCAGTATAGAATCAGGAGTTTCATATTATTATAGCCTAAGCTTTTTATATTTAACCTCAGTTTTAGTTGATGGTTTTCTGCCTTTTACAACTTATTCAACTTAATTTTCATTGTTTTTTTTTTTCAGGAGAAACAATTTGGGAAAAAAGCTGTAGAATTTTTTGGTACTAAAGTGATAGGCTGCTATTGAGATGATGATGGATGACTTTAGTGCTGGTGATGAAATGGAGGTAGTCACATCTGAGGTTGAGCAACAGCCACAACTTTTGCCTTCATCTCGTACCATCACTGTCACCAACAGCGTAGGGAGCATTGGTCCTGTTGTGTCAAGGTCTGCCCCTGGAAGTTTCAACAACAGCTTGTCATCTCAGAATGTACCAGTACTGCAGATCACCATTGTTCATGCTGGCAACACCCACACCATATCTAAAGGTTGGTGCTGGCTTTAAATTTAATTAAAAAGGTCTGTGCTGTATCATTTCTGTAGTTTGAAAATGCTCTCACAATACATAGATCAAAATAGATGCTCTCTCTCAAATGCCTCCTCCAAAAGAATCATTTTACATTGGCAAGTTCTCAATATTAACTTCTGTATTAACAACTCTTCTAAAGTGTACATAGTTTTACTCAGCTGTAGCATGGGTAATGTTCTAATTGTTTATTCATGGGAGCTTCCCTGGCTTTTATTGGATTATCGTTTTCTAATTATTTGAACACTTTAATAATTTATCTACTTCACAATACACTTTGTGAGTGATTTTAACTTAACATATGTGCAATTTTATTTGCATGTTTAAGCCACATTTTGCCACTATGAGAGAATTGTATTGATTTATTAGTTTTTTGACAGTGGGTTGGTAAAACTGTCTTGGACTGAAATTAAGACTTTATTAGTATTGATGGCTGGTTATTTCATTGTACCGGTAATTATGCCCACCACATTGAAGCTATATAGGACAATATTTCATCCAACGACTTAGTTTCAATTTCTGATTACAACATGTTCAAATTATTGTAAATTAAAAACAGATATCTGTACTTCAAGAAATCTAAATTTTTTATTTAATATTTACTAATTTTATTTATGATTAACTTGTTTTTAACTTAACTACAAATTATATTATTTATGTGTTCATAGTTTTCGTATATGCACTTGATTTAATATTAATTGTAACTTGCAGATGATCAGTATGAGTACCAGTACAAGTCTGCTTCTGGTGAGATCTCATCACTGCCTTTTGACAATACGGATGATGACCTCATTGAGGTGTCGGATGGGAACTCCACCTTCACGCTCAAGCGATCCATAGTTTACGACTACAGGAAGCAAGCTGATTACTATGGCGCATTGAAGGTTAGTTAAGAATTAATGCATTTAGTGAAAAAGATATTTAATTTTGGATTCATATCAAGTGAATGTATGAAAGTAATTTTACAAAAAGAATGCAAGGGTTGAGAAGGATCATGGGGAGATGTCAAATTGTAATTTTTAGTGCCAAGTGTTACAACAATCTCACAATGAGAGTGGTTTGCAACTCCATTTTATGCTAAAACAAATCTAAAAGTAGCATGCTGCTTAAACTAAATAATTTTCTCTTTCAGTCCATGAGCAAAGTTGGTTTTTCAGTAGCTTGGTGTTCACAGGTGTTTCGTGAACGCACCAAAGTGCGCCGCAACGGCAGGGATGAAGTTGTCATTCGTACAAGCCTCATTCAAGTTCGTGTGACAGCAAAAGACAAGGATGGCAAGAAGCTTGGTCCGCATGAAATACCTTCTTCTGTGGCCAATACTCCTGGTATCATCCCTCCTGTTGATCCAAAAGAAGTTCTGAATTACAAACCTCCTACTGGTGCCAACATGGTACCGATCACTTTTGGAAACCACATAGTTGATATAAACAAGAAAGCTATTGAACAGTTTAAAAAGATGAGTGGGGTCAACAGGGCACTTAAGGCGCAGCTTTCAAAGTTGTACAAGAGGAAGAATGGAGTTGATGTGCCAATAACTGTGTTGAAGTTATTTGCCTCTAACCGCAAATCTGGGACTGTTATGAAGACTAAGTCTTCACCCACTGAACCAGTCAATGTTGTTAAGTGGCCTCCTCAATCTTCTCTCCGTAAAACTGCAGTGAAAACAAATACAAATGTTCCTGAGGAGACAATGGTTTCTGAATCAGATCTCAAGCATTACCTGACGACCAAAAACACAGAACTCAACTGTGAACTTGCCCAACTTGGTCGCTCTTGGTGTCGTTACAAGCCTAGGGACACCACTGACACTGACACGTTACCCCAGGGTGACTTCGTACCACCTGATATGAATGACATAATTCACACTGATGCCCTCTGGAATTATCTCATCAACTATGCTAAAGAAATTGAAAACCTCATTGACTTTGAGTATGAAATCAATGAGGATCGTTGGCTGGAGCTCAAAAGAGCCTCAAACACTTTCCATGTAAATGGCGAGATGTGGCCTGATGTTGTTGTTAAGGTTGTGTACAGAATGAACAAAGAAACTAAAGAGTATGAAGTAACCTACTTCGTCAGGGTCTTGGGACGCCTCATCAAAACCGGCGTGCTCATGCGCGGTGTTGATGTCAATAACATCATTCAGGTGAGGGAGAGTTCTTAGCTCTTCACTAGAAACCTTTAAAGCGTTTATAATTTGGCTAAAATATTGGTGGTCAAAAACTCCTTATGATTTGCAAGTCTTTTGAAGAGCCTGAAAGAAAATTGAGCTTATTCTGTTTACTATGCTATTTACCCTCGAAAGGCCAATCCGTCATGAAGGCTATCTTTGTCATAAGTACTCAATATTTTTCAACGTAATATTCTTGCTGTTTGTTGCTAATATTATAAATTAGGTGTTTTCTGATGAACACGAATGCTATTAACATTTTTAGTGTCTTGTTTCCTAATTTCTAAACTGTTTCCTCTAATAGTGCCCGATTTTGCTGTTCTATTTTTTTTTCTAACAAATTGTGACTGGATTGAATATTTTCAGCTTTTGGGGCACGATCGCAAGATCTGTGTTGGTGTGATGGCCACGCCGTACCTGCAGCTACTGGACAAGAACGTTGAGATGTGCCGCGTGCTGAAGCGCGAGGGCGTCCTGGTGCTTCATCCTTTTGAGAGGCAAGACATTTAGAAATCTATGATTGTTATTTTACTGTATGCTTTGTTTCAATTTAACAAGACAGTAATAGTTTGAATGCAACCAGTGACAGCATATTGTTAATAATTATTTTTGCCTGAGATGGATGCTTGTAAACTATAATAATCATATTTCTCATACTATCATCATTACAATAAATGATAAGACTAGGATAGCATCTGCTATAATTTATTCACACGTTTTCTTTTATTGGTGCAGTTTACACAGCGAGAAGTGTTGTGGTCTGGTGCGTGACATGTCACAGAGCCACTCGAACAGCTTCAGACGCGGCAGCGTGGGCGTGGAGGGAGAGCAGGTCGTGTGTCCGCCCTGCCTCAGCCTCTGTGCTCGACTCAACCAACTTTTCTCTGCCACCGACTACCAGTCCAAGACCAAACAGCGCGAGCAGGTGAGTGCTGATGCATGGGAGAATTTTTGATTCCCCATTATAGTCTTCATTTCAAATATTCCTAATTGAAGCCTTCTTCATCTATTATGAATAATGAATTACCAGTTTCCATCCGTCCTGAGTGCATAAATATCAGTAAAATTATAATTCCACGTATGTTGCATTTGGGTCATTCCATGGAGAGTGGTCTAAACCTTCCACTATCATAATTTTTTCTAAATTTAACGTGCAACACTTGTCATGTATATATTAAAGTAAGTTTCACAATATTTCAAGCCTGTAGCCGTAGTAGCTGCTGATCCAGACCCCCTTTTCAGAAGAATAGTCAGCCCCTATGCGCACAACATAAAACAAAATCAATTTTTGGGGTTTATTGAAATTGAAAATAATGCATAAAAGTGGCTAGTAGGATGAAACCTTGTACAGTTTCTGCAAGGAAATTATTGCCGTCTAAATTGAAATAAAAATTGGCCGCATTGTGTTGTGACCAATTTTGAGTTACACTCTGCGCTAACTTCTTTGACTGAATTTTGTATAAGTAATGTTTTTGTTGGAATCAGCCCAGAAAACTGCAAAGTCTTATCTTACTAGCCATTCTTATGAATTATTTTCAGTTTCATGTAACCCCAAAAATGTAATTTTATTTTATGTTGCATGCATGCGGCCTGACTACCCTTCAGACAAAGAGCATAAAGCAGCAGCTACTGCTGCTAGAGATCTGAAATGTTACGAAACTTTTTTAGAGATCTGAAATCTTACGAAACTTATCTTTTGCTGCAGTTAAAATTTAGAAAATATTGGAGACCTTATGGTGGAAAATTTTTGTTTACTCTTTGACCACCTGGTTAGCATAGCCCACTTTGACTCCTCCATGTGTCTTCAAACTTCGATGTTGTCAAAACAAATGCCAAGATTCTTGAAAAATCAAAGACTCATTTCTTCTAAGTATGTCTAAATCACGATATAAATGGTTTTGCTTTCATCTTCATTTTTTTAGAGCATGCATTGTCAATGAGGTTATATTGAATGATTTCAACCTCTATGTGGTTGTGTAACAATTCTGTGCCGTGCTGTAACGTTTTGTAATTAACATTCTTGGTTGTGATTTTGTCGTAGAGAATTGCTTATTAATCTTAATTAATCCTTTTTGAACTCCTTGTTAATTTGCGATTAAAGCAGTCAAATGATCTTAATACTTGTAATCCTTTGTGTGCTATATAGTGTTTCCCTGTGTTGAATGTTCGTGGGGTGAGTTTTTACTGTGTTCCGCAGAGTGCTGTGGTTTCATCGAGTGGTGGAGGCAACAGCGGTGCTGCCATAGCCCCCACCAACAGTCAGTTCATCGGCGTGGGCGTGAGTGCTGCTCTACGCGGCAGTCGTGTACGCGAGGTCCTCACGCAGAGTCTTGATGACATTTTACGTTCCTCGAACTCTCGTCGCGCCCTGCTGGAAGAGGACGCTAAGTTGGGCCTTCCTGCTCGTAAAAAAGTTGCCCTCGAAGATGAAGAATACGAGGACCCGAGGCCCGAAGTGGTGCTCTCACAAGAGCAGTTTGTAGAGATGATCGACATTCGACGACCTGAGGTCGGTGGAACTAAGAAGCATCTCTACAAGAGCTGCAGCTACTGCAACTACCGTGCCAAGACTCTCCTGGCTCTATTCGTACACATGAAGGTGCATTTGGGCGTCATGCGGGAAGTCTGCTCCAAATGTAAGGCCAGCTTCTCAGATAAGCACGCACTGGAGAAGCACAGGATCGAGACACATGGCCAGAAAACTCCCGAGTGTCCTGTATGTTACGTTGAGCTAACTAACAATGATCAGCTGTACGATCATATGAATAGGCACCGCACGCATCATCCATTCATTTGCTCATTCTGCTCGGACAGCTTCTTCACTCTGGACGCCTACAAAAAGCACTTGAAGTCAACGCACAAGATTAAGGCTGTAACTGACCTCCAAATCGGATGCAAGACGTGCAACGTTCATTTTTACACACAAGATCACCTGATACTGCATCGTGTGAACATGAACCACAACGACATTGATCTGTTCACCTGCAAAGTGTGCGGGTTTGACTTCGACACAGCCGCCAGCTTCCGTGAGCACATCATGGAGCACACTGAAGAAGAGCGCGATGTTGCCAACATCGCCGTGTGCCCGACTTGCTTCAAGGTCTTCTTCTCGGCCTACAGACTCAACTTCCATATTGAGCGTTCCCATCTCATGCCTAAATCAAGTAAAGACGCCGAGCAGCAGGAGAAACTGCAACAGCCGCACCAACAACAGCAGACCGTTTTCATTCACCAACCCACGAATAAGACCACGAAAGGCCCGTACATGAGATACCTGAAACAGACAGAGAAGAACATATGCAGTTTGTGTAATAGAAGATTCAAGACAGTCGAAATTCTGCAAAGCCACATCCATTTCTGCCACAAGGGCAACAAATTTGATTTTTCCAGCAAGAAATTGGACTTGCTTGATAAGGGAGAGGAAACTCAAGTGACTGAGTACGTGACTCTGCCAAACAGTGCGCATTTGGCTGATGGCTCAAGTATGGTCATCGATAACAACGTGGTGCACATGCAAAATGGAGAAATGGTCGAGATGAGCCATGACATTATGGACGGTAGCAACATGATCCATGTCGATGCAGACATGATGCAGGTAGCTAATGACCTGGTCCAAGTTGGTAACAGTTTCGTTAGCCTGAACACGACAGTGATGCCAGACAACAACACGACGTTCGTGACTACAGCGGCTGGAATCGCTGGCTCTGAACATCTCAAACAAGATTACCGCTGTGACTTGTGCGGCCGCAAATTTGACAACGACGCTCAACTAAGCTCTCACATCAAGATCCACTCCGGCAACCGTCCTGTTTTTCAGTGCGAGGAATGTGGCCAAATTTATAGCAAGAAGCAGCAGGTGCTGGATCACATACGGATTGATCATGCGGACCAAGTGCAGCAGCACGCTTCTCAGGTGCAGCAACAGCAGCAGCAGCAGGATGAAGCAGCGGCCGAGCTACACTCCTCGGCAACTGAAGCTCCTCTTTTGCATTTCGTGGACCAGGCCTCCGAGCAGCAAGTGGAGGTGCAGACTGCAGCCCAGGACGATGTCATGCTCCAGTTGCAGGACTTTTAAGGTTACCGAATTCTGACGTCAAGTGGTGTTACTGTCGCGTAGTTTAATGCTTATTTAAGCCTGAATATCGCCTATTGGGCGCTGATCATATGTTTAGGAGTGATCTCCCGCTTGGAAATCTCTTTGTAAATCTTAAGTTTCAAAATTACGCGATCCTGCAGAAATGCCTTCATGTTGGGTTACAAAATATTGAAAAAATTCCCAAATTATCTCTTTCAAAACTTAATGCCTTGTATTAATAAGCGGTTTGCGCTTCACTTCAGCGACCTGCTGCGTTTTCTTTTTTGCTGTTATTTTCTGTGTCCCAATGTTGACTTCAAATTTAAAAATTTGTTACTAAGTTCAACAAAGGGTTTTGCAGTTTGAATACGAACTTTTTATAATGTCATTTTATATTAATTCATGTTTACTTTTAGATATCGTGGGAATTTTTCAGTTTTTTACGGCTCAATCTTAGCACACAATGCGTTTCTTATGGTTTACATATTATTCTACGGCTCTATTTCGACATGCAATTCTTTTTCTCGCTTGATTTGTGTTAGAATAAACGAAAAAAAAATTTTTTTTGCTATTTAGGCTATCGACCAGATACGGAATATGTCAGTTATGTGTCAGTTTTCAGTTCGAGAATGCACAGGTACGGTACTTATTCACTCTAATTACACTCAACAGTGCGATTGTCGAACAAAATATAAAATTTAAATGGATCTATTTTTTGGTTCCAAAAATTGTGTTGCTTCCCATCCTAGTTCACGTTTCAGTTGTTACCTACACCTTCTTTATATATTTGTGTTTTTCTTTAGATTACTTTATGTATAGTGACATGCTAGAGGCTTGAATGGTAGGTTTCGGAGAGTGTTGAATTTCGATGTACAATAGATTTGAAATTTTATTTGCCTTGGGCAGAGCGTAATAATGCCATGTTTAGACTAAAATGAATAAATGCGTTTATCATAGTATTATACTATCGCTGGAATTAAATTTCTAAAACCTGCTACTTTTTTGAGCTTTGTGAAATTGATTAGCTTGTATTGTTGCCTCATAGGTTTATCCTTAAGTTAGATTGATAGTTTATCGAGTACCTGTGTTGTTCACTAGCTGCTAATAAAGTTCTCTTCTCGAGAGTTGTTCTTTTATTAACAGCCTTCCGATCCTCCAAAACTGAAGGCATGCATCAGAGCGTCTGTCATATTCGGATGCTGTAGAATTTTTTGTAGCCTCGGCACTCATTAAACTGAGGGAGGTAATTGGGAAAACTTTCGAGTCCTGACCTACGTGCCGCAAGGGAGTAGGATTGCTAACTCCTACGAGGGGAGTAGTGACGTTCCCCCGGCCCTAAGTCTCCTGGACTTTCAAATCTCCTACTTTAGCATCGTGGTGTGAGCGCCTGGGTTTGAGTTATTGAAACAATTCTACACCAAACTTCCTTTAACGTGTGAGAGTGTCTAACTTCTTTTCAATATCATCAAAGTTTCTTGTTTATAAAAAAGTGTTCGTCATCACCCCCCAAATGAAACTGGCATCGAGTAATTTTATGAAGCTTATTCTTCGTCGAACAAAAGGTACCTACTAGTGATTGTACTATGACACATGTAGTGATCTACGGCAGTTTCACCTGCCCTACATAAGTGTACAACTGATACTGATCCTCGTATTAAGTTGATCAGTTACGACACCGGAATTTTTCCCCTTTAAATCGGATTACTTCTGAAAATCGAATAGTTCTTAGTGAAGTTATAAATTATTTAGTAAATATACTCTTGTCAAGCAAATCTGTCATTAATAGGGCAATGGAATAATCGCTTCACTGATTTATTTAATAACCTTTATTCTTAGAGTGCTTAAATAGCTTAATACTCACAAATTTATGTCTTGAAACAAAATAAGCCGGTGTTTTAAGTGACTAGGTCCTGTTACATTTATCATGTTTTTTCGCTCCAACGTTTATCTCGTGGACAGTCCATTTTTGCAAGTCGGGAGGAGTTGCGTATCAGCATTTCCATGTCAATCTTTTGCTACATAAAGCAATTATCACAGCGTGCTGGTAGATTTCTGTCGCCATCGAGTTTAACTGAATTATGCAAGGCTTGGACAGGCGAGTTCTTATGTAACAAGCTTATTGAAATTCTCCAATTTTTATTTATTCTTAATGTTATTGTGGATCAAATTTCAGGGCCATTTATTCTACTCCCAAAACGAACTTTCGTCACAATGCCTGACTACCATCTAAGAGACAAGGTCGCTCTCGTTACTGGTGAGTACAGGGAACATAAGATTATTCTGTGTTGACTGGGAAGAAATCATTTTGAATCTCAGATTAAATGCATGTGTTTCGCGTTTCCTAACATTTGAATGTACTTCATGACTTAACGTCTTAAGATTCAGTACGGTATTAAGATATCGGGCATACGGTATTAAGATATTAAGATATCAACCGTATCAGTACGGTTTTTTGCAGAATTGAAATTAATGATCATTTTGAAATATTTTTTGTATAACCAAATTTCTAGGTTAATTTTTTGCTACGCTTGGGTAAAGTAAATTTTGTATCATAACGACAACCCGTGTGTGGCAGGCGCGAGCTCGGGCATCGGTCGCGGGTGCGCCGTAAGCTTCGCGTCAGAAGGCGCCTGCGTCGCCGTCACCGGCAGGAATGAAGCCGCCCTGCAGGCCACCGTCGACCAGTGCTCCAGCAGAGGCCTCAGGCCTGACCAGGTGATGCTCCAGCAGAGGCCTCAGGCCTGACCAGGTGATGCTCCAGCAGAGGCCTCAGGCCTGACCAGGTGATGCTCCAGCAGAGGCCTTAGGCCTGACTAGGTGATGCTCCAGCAGAGGCCTCAGGCCTGACCAGGGCATGGCCCTGAAAGCCAACACGGTTGGTCTAATCGTTCTATTAGATAAGAGTTTTCAAATGAGAATCAAACGTTATTACTGGCTCGGAAATAATTTAATCAGAACTTTTCATTTATTGTTGCTTCACGTTCATACAATCTCACTAATTGACGGATATACGGTCTACACATACAGTCCGTCTATCAATTATTGGAAATTATTCTCTATGCCACAGTGCATTGAGAATAATATTAGTGTGACTAAGCGTGTCTTCCACTTTACTCAGTTAGTTCTGGGCAATTTTTTGACAATCTTTAAAAAACGAATCGAAACTTGGCTCCATCGTAGTTTATTCCCGTAAAGTTTCTTCAAATGTATAACGTCTTGCTTTTATTAAGTTTCTAGCATGTATTAATTTCCAGATTCTGAAGCTGGTCGCCGACTTGTCACAAGAGGAGGACTGCAAGCGCGTGGTCGCCGACGTCGTCAAGCAGTTCGGTCGCTTGGACGTCCTCGTCAATTCCGCGGGTACGTAATTGTCTCTGAAACTGATTAAATTTTTATTGAATTTTTAGTACTCAAGACCTACAATTAGGCCCCATTTCAGCAAAAGTTATTTAAATAACATGCGTTTAAAAATTACTTTTTAAAGACAACACTTCTAAAGAATTCAGTGTCTGCGATGTTAAAAATGTAGAATGAATTTCTAATTTTATTATCAAATATTAAAATTAATTTTTAAATTTCAGTTAAAAAAATAAATAAATTTCTCAAAATTATTTATTGTGTCAATTTAATCATGCATTGTCTCCAACTTTTCGCAAGTGTGCAAAATTTCAGATCGATTTTACAGGTAGGAGTGTGTTAAATAGCGATTATAAGACATGTAGCAGACAAAATTATTTTTTCACATTTTTTAATAATCAAAATAAAAATAATTTAAATTTTCAAAATTTTTTATTCTGTCAATTGATTCATGCATTGTCTCCAACTTCACACAAGTGTGCCAAATTTCAGATTGATTGGACAGGTAGAAGTGTTGGAATATCGATTATAAGATTTTTTGAAGACAAAATTATTTGTTCAATTATATTAAATTAAAAAAATATATTTTTAAAATTATTTTATGTCTATTGATTCGTGTAGTTTCTCCGACTTTATGCAAGTGTGCAAAATTTCAGATCGATTGGATAGGTAGAAGTGTGTTAAATGTCGATTATAAGACTTGTAGCAGACAAACAAACAAACAAGCAACAAGAAGTGAAGTTAAAGAGAAGTGTTGTAAAGTGTTAGCTTCTCGCTGGTTATTCATGCATTCACATGTCAATATTTTTATCTGTCATGAATGTTCCTTTATTTGAACACTATGAATGGAAACCGTATGCGTAAGTCGTGTAATAATATTTACTATTTAAATTACAGGATTTAAAACTCTACGTTTTTTTTTGTGTTGCTCCCAGGCAAATATCTCTATATTGATAAACGTTTTAATTTGATTGATTTTTTTCGAATCTAATAGAAGAGATCATTTCCAGGCATATTGGTCGCGGGGGGCATCGAGACCGTGTCCCTGGATCAGTTCGACCATCAGATGAACATCAACGTGCGCTCTCTGTATCACTTGATGCAGCTTGCGCTCCCGCATCTGCTGCAAGTCAAAGGCAACATCGTAAACGTGTCCTCTGTCACCGGCATGCGCGCGGTATTTCCTTAACTATCGCCCGTGTTCTAAATGAAAATGAAACTAAAGCTCTTTGTTTGGCAATATATAATTTATTAATGTTCAAATTTCAAGAAAATTATTTTATATGGTAGTTAAATTTATATCAGTATATAAATAAAGTTTGATGAAACGGATGTAATCCCGGTTCATGGATTTTATTTCTTGTGATAGTGAACAAATGCTGTGGCATACAATGAAGTCTTGATTGATGAAATTACATTTTATCGAATGTAATTGGGAACTGTGCTCTGCGATAATTAATAATCGAAATTCATTGCGCATGTGCAGTGAAATTACTGGTTCCACACATTGAATTGTCTGAAATTACATATGTTGCCAGTTCCCCAACGCGGTTGCCTACAACGCTAGTAAAGCCGCAGTGGACCACATCACGCGCTCTGTCGCCCTCGAGGTCGCCGCCAGGGGCGTCAGAGTGAACGCTGTCAATCCTGGCGTCATCGTCACGCACTTGCATAAGGAATCCGGGATGACGGATGACAAGTATGATGAGGTAAGGAGCTCAGTTTATGTCTTAGTTGATTAAATGTAAATAGTTGCCCTGAATACATTTCAGTTGAATAGTTGCCTAACGGAACTGCAATGTAAATAGTTGCCCAGGTAGTGAAGAACCTGATTCAACTTGATATACAGAGCTAGTTTCATCGAATATCAATCACGATAACGTTAGTTCCGTTAGGCAGTACGTTAATTTTTATATAGCCTTAAACTGCTGTGTCCGTACACTTTGCCTGTTGACATTTGGGTTCTCTCACTGTGTCGTACAATGACGGAAATATAAATACGGGATGTGAATTGATACACCTTCCAAATTTATTGAAACACAACATAGTAATACGACATATTGAAATTGAACACCTTCGTAGAACAATACAGTCGCTTGCCTATGCTTTTAGGACTTCTGACGCGTGCCTACGCTCGTCAGAAGTCTTATGGTATTTCATGTACCTCGAGGATATGTTTCTTAGCAACTCACGTTTGAGTTCGTGGTATCTGACTACAGGTCTCAGTTGTGGGGATAAGTTATTATGTAGGAAGGATTCCTTACCTTTCTCTTCTCTGTCTCTCTCGTGCGGGTGGCCGACGTCCCGTGTAAGCGACCTCTTGTTTGAGTGTCTTCGTTTCTGTTGCTTTTCACCTGTCTCTCCTTGTCACTTCGTATTTTTGAGATGACGCCGATTCAAGTTTATTTTTTCCCGTCTACAGCAGGCCGGCCACTTGAGACCTCTAGCCCTTTGTGGATGATAAACTATTTAAGAAATTTTCAATAATAGAAATCTTCAGCCTTGCTGGCGATGTTAGTTTTTTACCTCCGCTGCAAAATAGCTTGATAGCTGAAGCGTTAGCAAGCCACATTGTTATTTCTACTACCAACGTGTGCGTCGCATCTCGCTTAGCGGTTCTTCACGGAGACTGTCTACGCGGTTGTAGCCTCCCAATTTTTTATACTCTAGCCGGCAAACTCTTTGTTTTTAAACCCATTAACTTTAGCCTGAAAATCTCATTTTCTTATTCAGTTTGTTTGAAGGGTAATATGCGGTAAATTGGTATAACAAAAATTATAGAAATGGTTAGTTAATCAAATACTTTGGGGAACCTCTTTCATACTCGAGGCGATCGCATAAAACATACAACAGGATTGATAGTTGCCGACTCCTTTTGTATGTGCGATCTGATATTTTTCAAGCCATTCTTGATGAAGTCAAGTTGAGAATTCACTGGTAGCATTGTATATATATTATTAGGTTATTCACTTGCACTTCTTCGTCTTCAAAGAAGTTATAGACTTGGTTTTCGCACAACAGTTTCTTGAGCACTCGCGCACCACGCACGCCATGGGGCGCGTGGGCGAGGTGCAGGAGGTCGCCGACGCTGTTCTCTTCCTCGCCTCCGACCGCGCCTCCTTCATCACAGGCGCCACGCTGCCCATCGACGGAGGGCGGCACGCCATGTGCCCGCGCTGAAGTCCCATAAAATGTTTAGATTAATTTGTGTAGGGTTTGGATTTGTAATTGTTTATTATTCGTGGTTGGGCCGTTATGTATACGACAGACATGATCTTTATTGGGATCGCTGTTTTACTTTCTAATTTGTTATGTTGGATTTTCCCGAACGTGTTTATCAGATTTTTCAATTTTGTCTCTTTCTTGGGTCGTCAGTGTAGTTGCTTTATTTTTTCTGTGCTGTTTGGGCAGCAAGTGAAGATTTTTCGTGCAATATATTGGTAACATCTGTTAAATGTGCAACTCCTAGGTCTGTGGTCTCCTATTGTTCCCCGCTCTGGGTCGCACTCGACGCGATGCATTAATTCTCTGAACACACAATGTAACCGAGCTCGGACCTGGTCACATTTGTGACCATGAAGCCACATTTGCTATTCTTTATTATGACGCTAAACATGTAGCAGTGTATGTTGCGGCCGCTGTTGCATGGTTGTATCGTGAATATTAAGATGCGCGTCTGACGTTCTGTTGTTTAACGCGAAGTTCAAGCCAAATTTCTCTGAAGACCGGTCACTTTTTTGAGAAGTCATTATCGCCGTATTCATCAGTGCAAGAAATAAACTTAACGCAAATTTTTGCTCTATATAAATTTTATTTAGTCATAGCAGAGGACTATTCTGTTGGGGTTTTATGCTGATAGCACGCGTGCCATGTTAGACTAATCATCGGACACTGTTGCGGGTTGGATGTGGCCTGCAGACCGCAGGTTGGGAATTGTTATTCCAGATTGAATTTTATGATATTATCAGATGTTGGTATTATTATATGTTTCGTCAATATACTGGGAGGAAGAAATGAAAATTTATTGACCTTACTCTTTTTCAATGAAAAATTCATTTTAAAATAAGTGAATGAATTATCAAAGAAATTTCAGTAGGTGTGGTCCTGAATTCAAAATATGGAGACCACGCTGATGTAATGTAAAGTGTTCACTACCAACATGACTCGACTGCAATTGTCTTACGCGTCTTACATTGCTCTTCAAAATTTTGCGTAAGATATATGGGGATTCTTTATTATTGTCCTGCCGTATGTAGTTCACATGACTTTATTTATATTTTACTGTACTGCGGTGGTCTTTTGGTGGGCTTTCTGTTGCCCCGTTATTATTTGGTTGCCAGCATAAAGACATTTTATGAGTTTACTCTTGACCGCCAAAATTGACGGATTGATTTGTCAACTGGATTGTTTGTTGACCTACAATTTGGCAGTTCATTGATTACTTGTGTGATCTACGACCGCTTTAGTACTCCACCCTAGAGTGTTAGATTGAAGCAACCCTCCTTTTGGTAGAGTAGGTATTTAAGCGTCTTGCTAGGACGCTTTAAAATCTACCCTCAGTAGATTTTACATGCAACTCGCTGGAGGTGCATGAGGTCTTGTTTCGAGTACTAACTAATATGCCAGGATAACTAACGAACATGCCAGGGTAACTAACGAACATGCCAGGGTAACTAACGAACATGCCAGGGTAACTAACGAACATGCCGCAAGGGAGTAGGATTAAAATCCTACTCGGGGAGTCGTGACGTTCCCCCGGCCCTAAGTCGACGATGGTTATGATATTATCACTTGCGCTGGTATATGCATGAGTGTACGAGTGATTGTGCACGGCTGTTATTTTAGTGTAAGTTTGGAAGCCCACGCCACTGAAAGCTCAAAATTTGTCATTAACATTCTTGCAAAGAAAGTTGAATAATGGAACTTATGATCTCATTTTAAAATATAATAGTATATTTTAAAATAGTATGTTAAAATATATAATCTCATTTAATAGTATTTTTATTTTCTTGCCGTTCATTTGACCTTGTATAAGCAATAGTGATATTTTAATTTCTTATTCACTGAATACGAATGCTTCACATGCTTTTGTAGAAGGCTAAAAATTGTCTGATGTCCCCAAAATTCTTCTTAGGATGGGAACAAATATTATTTGATTGATTTCGCTATTACCCACATTCGATGCGATTTGCGAGCTTCTTATATTCGATAATTACGAAACAGTACTTGCACATTTAGTTAGTACTTGCACATTTAGGTACTCTACACATTTAGAATCTCCGCCTTTCTTAATTCCAGATTTTTATTTAAGTTTGATTTAGTTTTGTGTGAGACGCACTTTTTGTTTTATAATCCTCAGGACAAAGCAGATCTATTATGCCTGACTACCATCTGAAAGACAAAGTCGTCCTTGTTACAGGTGAGCGAGGGTAACGTTATATTCGTGAACTTGGTAAGGCTCACAGTCGACTTACTCTTATTTTTTAAGTTTTTTTTATACCGAAAAGTTTTTATTATTGATCTTAAAACTTAATTCTCAAGTTCATGTTTGACTGCTCCTGGTTTGCGTGCTCTTGAATGTGTCAGCATCTCAACACGACAACCCGTATGTGGCAGGCGCGAGCTCGGGCATCGGTCGCGGGTGCGCCGTAAGCTTCGCGTCAGAAGGCGCCTGCGTCGCCGTCACCGGCAGGAATGAAGCCGCCCTGCAGGCCACCGTCGACCAGTGCTCCAGCAGAGGCCTCAGGCCTGACCAGGTGATGCTCCAGCAGAGGCCTCAGGCCTGACCAGGTGATGCTCCAGCAGAGGCCTCAGGCCTGACCAGGTGATGGACGTGAAAACTTACACTAAAGACCATTCCATTCAGTGAGATTTTCCTGCTACGAATCCAATAAGGTTTTCGCTATAAACTTAGGTTCTCATTCCTGTTGGTTTCTCATTATTTTCAATTCGCGATTGTTCTATTCCAATAATTAAAAATTTTCGATTAACAACTTCCGCTAGTTAATCGAAAAATTTAAAGTCCGTGCATCAAGACGAATAAACTCCATAACTCATCACTTGTATAGATTGCATCCGATGCAACTCCATGACAGCCATAGAAAAAAATCTTAAGTAAAGTTCTTTGAAATTCAGGACGTCTTCTTGCTTTTATAAAGTTTCTAGCGTGTATTAATTTCCAGATTCTGAAGCTGGTCGCCGACTTGTCACAAGAGGAAGACTGCAAGCGCGTGGTCGCCGACGCCGTCAAGCATTTCGGTCGCTTGGACGTCCTCGTCAATTCCGCGGGTACGAAATTTGGTGACGAATGAAGAGTTTCGTTGCTGTAGGATTAAATTATGGTTGTTTGAAGTTGTAGTGATGTTACTAAGCTAGATTTTTATGAAAGTACTTTCGTGTTATCAATACATCTAGTCCTCTACCTATTAACTGAGTAGATTTGATGTCTTAACATAACATAACATAATGATGTCGGCGCTGAAGAGTAGGCCTGATGTGGCCTGTTGCCGATTCCTGTACTTTTCGTGACGTGTTCACAGAAGATCTAAAATCGTTTCCTTTGACCGGATCTTTTCAAGACTGATGAATAGTTTGAAATGGCTACTAGACTTCCACCGGGTTCGATATGGTGCTAGGCATTTCAAGTCTGAACATATTTTTCCATAGATTCATCTAGTCTGTTCTTGAACGCGTTCATACTCGGAGCGCCAACGATGTAATCGGGGAGGCTGTTCCACATGTCGGTGATTTGAAGCGAGAAGAAATGTTGTCGCGTGGACAAGTTGCAGCGCAGTTTTTTTTAGTTTATAGCAGTGGCCCCTTGTGTTAGTTCTTGTTTCAAATTCTAGTAACCCTTCGGTGGCCTTGTATAAACCATGAGTGTACTTGTATACTTCAATGAGGTCCCCACGCAGACGTCGGTAACTGAGGCTTGGAAGCTTCATAATCTTTAGTCTTTGCTCATAGGACTTGCCCTTCAAGCCCGTAATTATCTTTGTTGCAAGTCTCTGAACTTCCTCTAATATTTTTATCCTTTTCAAATCTCGATGACCACACAACGTTTCCAAACTCTAGATTCAGGCGCAAATTCTTAATTCTGACGTTTAATTTAAACGTCATGTATTTGAATGAAAGTAAATGAATAACGAATCTTTGTTTTCATAACAGCGATTGAATTGCGAATTATATAACCTCTTCATCAGTATTTTGTGATTTTCTTGTAACTTTCTATTTAAAAAATGGTTATTTCTTCACTTTAGCTATTGTTGAAAATTTTCCAGGTATATTGGTCGCGGGGGGCATCGAGACCGTGTCCCTGGATCAGTTCGACCATCAGATGAACATCAACGTGCGCTCTCTGTATCACTTGATGCAGCTTGCGCTCCCGCATCTGCTGCAAGTCAAAGGCAACATCGTGAACGTGTCTTCTGTCACCGGCTTGCGCGCGGTATTTCCTTAGTTAATTTCATGCTAATTAGATTAAGTTTGTTTTGCTTATCACAGATTTACTTTGGTGCCAAATTCAAGTTTGAAATTCTATCGTGGCTTCCTTTTATATCGCGTAATTTACTGTTTATTATTTGCTGCTGCAACAGCGCTAGGTATAAGTTTACGTAGAGAAAGGCTTACGTAAAAGATAACGAACGAGAGGTAGGAAGCCAACGCGGCGGTGTTTTCCTACAATTTGGAAACGAAGGGCAGGAGAAGAAGTGTCTGATAAAAGGGAGATGTCTCCGTAATTTTCGATTGGACGTGTGCTAGGTACAGGTGGTTGTGAGAATTTCTTGCTAACGAAAACGTTCAGCATACGGGCTGCATGCAGTTTGGTTGGCGGCAGCGTTGATGAAGACAGGATCAGAAGAAGGTATTTGGTGGTTTGTCTTGTGGGATAGGTGCTGTTTACCATGAGCGAAGGATAGGGGCTATGATTTAAAATCAGCGAAGGACTTTCTGTAAGACGCATGTAAAGTTCGCCTTTACTGTGCCCAGCCTCGGGGAAAAAAAATTTGGTGAGGTCGTCAGTTTTAGGAAGAAATTTTGAAGGCCGTGGCTGAGCAGTTGAAAGTGAAATGGCAGACAATGACCAGGAGGTGACCGATGCCTTGGACCCTCCTGTATGCGTATATATGGGTGAACATGATGAAAGGCAGCAGGAGGTAGCCTTGTGAACGAATGAGAATCGTTCACGGTCTTTTTAGGCTTTTTTTTACTCATTTCAATCTTTGTTTAAGCTAGGTGATAAATTATACTGCATGTATGGTTTTTTTTAACGAAGCCGGTTAAATAACTTAGACTTCCGACCCCTTCAGGGAAGATTAGTCTCAGAGAGAGGTGACGAGAGCGATTCCTTTTATATGAGACAGTAGTTGTGTCCTGCTAGCCGATCGGTTAAGTTGCTGCTCTGACCTTCCTAGTGGTAGCTAGTAACTGCCGATCTGGCATAAAGCTTTTTGTCTTGCAGTGAGCCCTCTCCCTGACTGAGCTGATTAATTATTTGCCAGTGTCTGTGCTGCTCCTAACTGTAACCGTAACTGTAGAGTGCCCATTTTAAAGTGCTCATTTCTATTGGAATAAACGTGTTTGAAACTTCAGTGGGGAACTGGAAAGTTGTTTTTCCATTATCGATTATTTAAAACTAGCTTTTTAATAAGTTCGTGGCCAGCGTGCAACCTTGGGCGGCCATCCGTTGAAGCTAAGGTAGTGAACGTCCGGTCACAGCCTGCATGATCCAAGTAGCAGCAGAGCTTAGGAGTTTCAATGCCATGTAGGTCGCAGGCTGCAGGCATAGATGAGACCGTAGTGGAGATTGTAAAACAATCCGGAGAGCCTGCTGCTGCTGTCACTGCGCAGGCAGGAGGACGGACCAAGATGAAAGCTTTTGCAACTGCGATCGCGAACGGCAGGAAGACGGTCAAAGCCGAATGACCTTGTTGGAAATAATGCGAGTGTGTCAACGATGAGAGTAGCCGTGAGGTTGGAAAGAAAAACTATTGAAATAAATTTTACAGCTGCACTCCGGAGAGAGATGGGTCGACAGGGAAAACGTTGTAATTGGATATCCCTTGCTGCGCGATTAGAATGACCGAGTTTCCCTGATGAAAAGGATAACACTTCGAATTGTACATCGATTAGTTTTAATGTATTGCGGCGAAAAATTGTAGATAGACATTTTAATAAAAAAAATCAAATTCGTCCTCACCAGAAGACGTTAGTTAGAATTTATTAATTCCTATTTTTTCGCGACCATAAACTACCGGTACTCGATGCCATGAAGTGTCGCTTGATGACATTGTATATTGAGTGATAAAAATACTCAGTATTTCTTACGAGTACAAATTATCCAATCAATGACACGTGTTTACAGTTCCCCAACGTGGTTGCCTATAACGCCAGCAAAGCCGCAGTGGACCACATCACGCGCTCTGTCGCCCTCGAGGTCGCTGCCAGGGGCGTCAGAGTGAACGCTGTCAACCCTGGCGTCATCGTCACCGACGTGCACAAGAGATCGGGCATGACGGATGAGAAGTATGCTGAGGTGAGAAGCTCTCATCGTAACTCAGTTGATTCTAAGAAGGATATTGCTAGCTGTCTTCCTTGTCAATGAGAGTTACTGCTGATCTAGTGGTGTTCGATTTTTCCGACATAAATGATACGAAAAATGGTCGGTCATGCTGCACCAAGTAACTATGTACTTGAATAACTACCTCTCGTTCTGATTCAATATCTCATTGCTCCCACCTCTTGTTGGCTTGAAAATCCTACCGTTAGTCACCAGTCCGTTGGTTCCATAGTCTCTCGTGTACCTACAGTGTAATTATCTTGAGCTTGGATAAGTTTCTTTTTTTGCTTTAGCCTCGACTCGTGTTTAAAGTTCCGTGAACCGTTGTATTTTTTCGACGTCTTGAGTCTTTCCATTGACTCATTTTCTGTGATATTTTTTGCCAAATTAGGCAGAATATAGGCAGCCTATAACAGTACAGTTTGCTATATGCATGCAAGAGATTGATTTCATTTTAACAACTGGAGATGAATAATTTTTCATAAACGCTAGCGCATCCGAATATTGCCGACTTTCCAGTTAAGGACTGCAGTTGTCTAATTTTTTTTTGTGAACTGACAAATGCACAGATGAGCGACGAAAGTGTTAAAACCCACCGTCTTTTCTCGCGGGAACAGTTCATGTGTAATTTTCAGACACGGTGTTCCCAGTTGCAGTTTCTAATGTCTCGGTACACAGATTGTGTGCATCAGCGCCCAAAATGGCCATGTTCTATGTTTGGCTTACATAGTGTACTGAGGGGAGTACGGGACCCCGTAACCGTTGCATGTAAGAGATTCATACTCCCTTTAAAGAATTTATACATTTTCGATTTGATATCTCTGGATGAGTTGCTAGTTGTATCGTGTGATGGTTTTATCTGTGTAGTGAGATTAAATGTATCAGACTTCAGACTGTAATGACGAGAATAGTCGTCATTTGATCAAAATCTGATAGCGAAAACTTGAGCATATGAACTACATCATCGAAAAAAGTATTGTGATTATTGAATTATTAGAGATTCTATGAGAAATTTTAAGCAAGAGCATGTGAATCGAAGCTGCTCTGTGGAATTTTCAAGTAAGATCTTGTGTTGCTCAGTAAAATCAATTGAAGCTGCATTATGAAATTTGAAGTAAAATCAAATATAGGGTCACTCAAATCCAGACACGATTCTCACTATACAGTATCTGGAGCACTCGCGCACCACGCACGCCATGGGGCGCGTGGGCGAGGTGCAGGAGGTCGCCGACGCTGTTCTCTTCCTCGCCTCCGACTGCGCCTCCTTCATCACAGGCGCCACGCTGCCCATCGACGGAGGGCGCCACGCCATGTGCCCGCGCTGAAGTCCCCAAAATGTCCACATTGTTCGAGGTATTTTGGGGGATTTTTTAGAGTCGTTTTTTTTTTTGGCGATCGATGGATGATGATTATTATATGGTGGACAAGATCGTTACATACATAGAGGTCGTTGTATGAAGAGGAGGATTGATGCTCTAACTGGATTAACAACTCAGATATATTGGATTTTATGGACTGGCTTGTTTGTACGATTGTCAGTTTTTCGTCGGTCGTGTGGGGAGAATCACTACTGTCTGGACAAGAAGTGCAGATATTGTGAGAAGTTTCATTTAATAGTTATTGAGATAATTCAGCCAAACTAGATTCGTGTCAACTTCGTTTGTTTGTTTAATGGCTATATATTAATGAAATAGATTATTGCTTTGAATATCTTAGTTGTGAGTTTGCAAATTATTGTAATTAATTTTCCAATTGTGCAATTCGCATCATCAAAATGTTCAGTTCATGACTGATTGAATGAATGCGATGGTGGAAATTTCTGCAGCTTCGTCAATATACTAGTAAGAGAATGGCTATTTATTGACCTCTCACTCGCCGAATAACTCTTTACATTAAAATAAGAAAATTATGAAAACAGTCTTTCTGAGTGATGGGATATATTAGCAATGGTTTTCTAATTGGAATGCAAAATTTTTCTATAATAATTGGAGTTTGATTGGGCGGTAAAGTTATGCGATTACAATAACAGCTGCAATTAGTTCACTGTACAAGTATTTATTTACCTCTCCTGGATAATTCATTTTAACGCGCAATGCAAATTGAATTCAGTGCTTCAACTGTATTTTATGAGCGAGGCTTGGACAACACCAGAGCTACTCTCACATGTATTAGACATGCCGTGACACATCAACTTTGCTGAACTATGTACAAACATCAAAGGATGTTTCATCAAGATAAATATTTAGAGAAAACACATCGTTGCCATGAACTAATTATGACTACCATGGTTAGGTTAGGTTAGGTTACTCGTCAGCTATACATCTTATGTAGTAGCTGACAAGTTGGCAACAAGTAATGAAAGATCCTGAAATCTTCACGCGTCGTCACTTGAACTGCCAGCAACACATTCGTTCAACACAGGATGCCCGACCATGGAGAAAACGAAGTTAACCAGGTTTGTGGTAGGCCTGTACGAACGGCCTTGGGGAATGTGTTCGTAATTAGGTGAGGTCGCGGAGAGTGTGCTCGTGAAGAGGTCAGGTCTTGAGTGTGCTCGCAAAGAGGTCAGGTCTTGAGTGTGCTCGTAAAGAGGTCAGGTCTCAGAGAGTGTGCTCGTGAAGAGGTTAGGTGGCCAGAGCTGCGGGAGAGATGTTGACGTTTTCTGGATAGTCGGCTAAAAAATTCATCGTGCTCGTTGACATTAGTTTGAACGCCTTAAATTGAAAGCTTTGCGGCTACCAAATGTTCTACTTAAAGTTTACGACAAAAAGTGTAATACTAGCCCATGTTGAACTGGGAAAAGATTTGCTTATTGATTGACAAATATATTGCTTCAGTAATACAATGGAGAAAAATAGGGAATAGTTGTAAAAATATGCCGTAACAAAAAGAATAAAACTGTCGAAGTTTTACAGATCAGGAAAGGGTAATTTTCCAGCAGAAATTTTTAGATTGCAAATGGTAGAGTGAAGGCACTACAGTAACAATATCACAAAAGTTAGATTAGAAGGGAAATTCTAGGAATTACTTTAGGAAGGGAAGGAATTACTTTCATTCTAGAGCATTCATAATAGAGTAAGTCAGTACTGTGAACACAGAGTTGAAAATGGTACAATATTTTCTGCATAAAATATACAGACAGGCTTGCAACAATTGTTTATACGTCAATAATTCTACTATCCTACCTCAGGATATTTTGTCGATAATTTTTTTTAGATAGAATCAAAAGTCAGTGAAGTATTACGAAACGGGAATGTAAGAAGAAAACATATCCGGCATGGCCTTGCCTGACCAGTTAAGTCTAATGAACCTAAAACGGCTCATATGATATGTCATAAGCAAAAAATTTAAATAAGAGCTTACAAAAAGGTAGGTAAAAAGCTGCACAGTAATTATGATCACATGACGACTAAAAAGTTCTTGATTCTAGAGTATAACTTGAGTCAAGGAGCTTGCTCCTGTCAATGTCCCGCAGTGGCACTCGTGACGTGTTTGTAGAACGAGAGTTGACAGTCCACGAGCAAAAGACAAGCGATTGACTTCAAATAGATAAAAATATGCTTGAATTTTACAAGAAATTTTCGAGGAAAAAATTAAAGCAAAATAATGAGCTATAAGACTTACACGAAGAAATATCTACATAGAACACTTATTCGTCTGGACGTCAACGTGTGCTAGGAGGTAATATTATAATATGCGGCCAGAAGAAAATATGACGAACAGTATTGCTGGCACGAAATTCTTGCTAGAGCAAGAAACAAATCTGATAAATATATGAATATCAAATAGCCACACTTCTAAAAGCGCCTTACATATTAGACTTTACACTAACGAACAATTGAGGCATGAAACATTATCTCTTAAATTCGATGATATGCCACTTGTGCATTGATTATGCAGCTCAACAATTTATTCTCAATGTTTCATGCATAGAACCGCGGCAGCTCTTTCTCCGATGCGAGATTGAAGGTTTAAATTACCCACAGACCCCGGTGGTTAATTTTAAATACCTGTAAGGTTAAAAAAATTCTTGCTGAAAAGATTATCTGTAGGGCCCAAGAAAGAGACATAAATTAATTCAAAACGCTACCGTCAATGCCACTAACGTCGAAAAAGCACTTATGTCGTCGGCCTTCAAAAGAAACGATAAATTTTCTTAAAACCAAGCCACAACTTTCTAGCGCGATCGAAAAAGCTTCTTAGTTATCATGTGGCAATCGAGCCTAACAAATCGTAATTCTGACCAGTATCATCAGATTTTTATTGACGAGCGGCGCGTGAAGGGCAGTAGCTGCTGAGTGGCGACCTATGTGTCACTGATGGTATGTAGGAAACTATAGCATTTCCAGATCCATCATCAGTTCCCGGAAATCACCAAAGCATTGAAAACCTTCGCGAAACCCTCGTTAGATTTCCATGGGTTTCACCCTGTGCCAGTTTTTAACTGAACAGATGAGTCAAATCACACGAATATTTTCAGGCATTTTTGAATGTCTACAACTGGAAGATGAACGATAACATTTTATAATGACATCAGTTTCAAAACGTTGTCCTTGAAGACAACAATATTATGATGAATCAGGATGTATACCATCCACACACATACAATCAACAAAATATATGATTTCATCTCACAGCGAAAACATAAACTTCATAACATTTATCAACATTTCCCACGAGCTGGACCATCAGATAATGTCAACAAGACATAAGCGTTAGGTAAATTCACAACCATGAACGACATAATTATTAAAAATAAATACAAAGTGCAATTAGATAATTAAAGTGTACTGCGGCCAAACACAAATAATGTTTGAAACAAAATTATTTACGTAATAAGTGATCATCCAACACTTTTCTTTTTTCAAACCATTCAATTGAATCACTGGATACGAGCGATCATGATAATAGAGCGTAATGCCTGACGAAACTGTAAAGAGTAAAATATGAAATCAAGTCAAAAATATGGGCTTGCAATTTTTTCTGTTCTCATGAAACAACTCTACGAGCTCGTGAAACTATCAAACACAATACTTGGTATTAATCAATGGCAAGGCACCCAGTTACGTCAAGACGGTTTATCAGAATATAAGAAAATATTAAATAATGCTTCTAAATTTCTCTAAATTTGGTAATTATCTTTTCATCCATTAAATTACCCTCTCTTTAGCCAACGCATACAACGAGTAGAACAACGAGCAATTCTGGTGCATGGTTATCGGAAAAATATTATTCCAATACACGAGAGCAACACTAGCTCTCGTAAGCTGCAACGATGAAACATGTTTTCACTGGAAGGAAATCATCTGAAAGTTGTTTTGGGAAAAACACTAAATGCTAACAATCATGAGTGATGATATATATAAAGCATGCTTGTTTTCCAGTTCAGGGACAATTAGGATGACGCACCACGAACATGCTTGCCGCTTTTAAATTTGGATCCAGATTTCGAAGATCTTTCGTCATCTTCACTGAGACTCGCTTGAGACGTCAGTGCAGACAAAAAGTGAGGGTCAGACATTGATGCCGTTTCCTCGACACCTAAAGCCGGATTGGAATTAACAAGGGAAGAAAAACGAAGGTGAGGTTGCGAGGACTCAGGAGGAGACCGATGAGAAGTAGGGCTGAGGGAGCCGCCGTGGCGCCGGCGACCGTGTGTGAGGCCATGGACCCAGTCGTCTTTGGATGCCTCTGCTGATGCAAGATTACCTGAATCCTCGGCAACAGTAGCGCTTGCCACAGCCTCACGTCGCTCGGTCTGCTTGCGCCGCAAACTTGCCCGTATGGACGACGGGAACGCCGAAAAGAACTCCCTGTAAAAGAATGAACTCGTATAAACTGCTCTTTGTAATTGTTTCAGTATCTAATTTCAATATGAAGCAGATGTTGAATCATGCCTGTTCACGCGGATCAGGACTGATATCAAGAATTAATTATAGATTATGTGTTTTTTCTAAACTCACACAATACTGTTGACGAGACCAGCCTGCGCTGTCCTGTTGGGCAGCACTGGAGACCCGAGGGGCGAGTAAGGCGAGTTGAACGATGCCTCCGATATTGGGGAATAGAAGCATACACTAGGGCACAAGTCGATGCTCTGCCACACAACAAGGATTTATCCTAGATATTATTAGGAAAGATAACAAAATTAAACCGTACAAATTACTTGGTCAATTAATATCTAATTTCATGACTTTACTATGAACTGAAATGCTTATATCTATAAAATTTATGTATCACGGAGTAAGGATTATTATCGCAAAAAAGGTAAAGGTATGAAAATATTTTCATTGCGCAATCATATTGAATTCCTATTTCTCACATGAAAAACAAATGAAATACATTCATTTGCTTCTGAATTGCTCCATTTGAAATGTAGATGGAGCTAATAATCATATGGGAAACCTCAATCTTAGGCAGTTTACGCTTTGCAAACACCAATCATTGATTTGGTTCAATGCTAACACTACATTATAAGCTGAGGAATTGATCTTACGAACATGATGAAAAAATGATAGATGACCTACTGGAAAATACAATAACAGAATTGATGAAGTAAATGAGCTAACATCTAGGGACCAAATTCGGTGAAAATAATAACAAGCGACAACTCGCGTACGTGTCATTGGTTGATTTATTAATGATGATTCAAGGAGTCCTTTCAATGTACCGTAGCAAACGTGGAGCAATTGAGTACTGAAGATCTATGGTTGTCATTGAAAGATTTGAAAATGCTTCGCTGAGTCTATGAGTGAAGAAATGAAGCATGAAACGAAGATTTACAAAGTATTCATTGATTGATAAATAGATGCCTACGATAGGATTCCGGTAGCCATTGATTGGTACAAACGCTAGCGGAAGGAATGAAAAGACGAAGTTTAAAACAATGACTTACTGAAGTCTCCATGGTGGACCTCTGTACTCTATCAGTGAGCTGCTGGTAATAGAGATCGAGGCTGCTGATGTCAGGTGTGCTCTGCCCCACCTCCTCCCGGCGAGGGCGTTCGAAACGTTGCTCTACAGCATTGGCCACCTGGACACAGGGAAAATTTTTGAACCCAGCGACGTATGGAATCAAATCACAATATGCGCCTTGCTTTTAATGAACCATAGGCTGACATTTTCCACATTTTTATTCTTCCAATATGATTTAAAACAAGTTTTATGGTCAAGAAAGCGTAATTTCGCCGCTATTTTGAAACAGACGATTTGTTACTACTTCACAATTAAGGTGACAAGGTACTCATTGTTTGCACAAACTGTTTCCTAATCTTGAGTGATATTTCTAACAAATGTTTGAAAAATATACGGACTATGAAACATGGAGCACCAATATTTTTAAAGTTCTAATAGGAAAGAAATACCTGCATGAGGTCATAGAGTGACATTTCCTTCCTGATAGGCGGCTTAGTGGGTGTCTTGAGGACCTCACTAATGTCCAGCTGCATGATGCTTTTCAGGGCCGTCCGCACCAGGTTCCCGCTGCTCCTGATAACAAAAAACAATGAGGGAAAAACAAACGGACCCTTTCAACAGTGGACGAGAATTGACGAAGAATTTTGCTAAATTTTCGAACTGAATGATGTTCATTCGAATTTGAGTGGAAATTCCTACATAGTGCTAATTTAAAACCATATCAGAGGATTTTCAAATTAATGCCCTCTGAAAGGCTTCAGTAAGTTGAAAATCAAAAAAACAGTAAACAGTACACAACGAAACCGGGAACGTAAGGTGCTTCTTGCTACCTGAGAGGATGGTTGTCAGGCAGGGAGAAGACGTAGTGCGACGTGTAGTAAAGGTTGCTCACCAGATGTGGACACTGTGCCTCAATGATGGCCATGGTGAGCAGTCCTAGCACTTCCTCCTCAGATACTGACGACAGACGTTCGTCTGAAGGAAAATACGGATATGAGCAGTAGAAAAATAATATAAGGTTATTCCCTTCTTATACGTTATTGCATGGAGTCCGTTTGAAACAACATTAAACTTTCAAATGATGGGAAACCTTGTGTTAATAACGCGAGCAGTTGTTATCCTCTAAAATTGTGAATAAATAGGTCTTTTATGTTCCATTTGTTATTTTCTACATTATTTAGGTTTGAATTTTTTTGTATATCACGATTTTTACGAAATATTGTACTTGTACATAAATTTTGTTTGAACAGATCACGGAGCTGGTCTCTGAAACATTTTATGAAGTGTGGTGAATTTACTTACCGTTTTCTTTGCTCGTAAATTCTTGTTTCAAGTGAGAACTCGAAACTATTAAAGTAATACCTGGTACTTCTTCTTAGTAAATGATTAGAGGAAAATTTTTTGTTTTCAGTTCATGCTTCTAGTAGTTGCCTAACCTAAATGGAAGGAATAACCTGTAAGGTCACAATTAGTGCATAAAAACTAAAACAAAAGAGTTTTAGAGCTCACTATCAGCAGTAGAGCCTTTGAAGGATTGCAGTTCGGCTCGAGCTTGCTTTCCATGAGCCTGAAGGAGTTCAATGGCAGCATGCATGGAGTGGAGACGGGCGATAGCGCTCTCTAAGTTGCCCAGGGCGGCGAGCTCCACGACTGCAGCTGGTGTGGTGATCTCACACAGCTCAGGCAGCTGCAGTTGACTGTGTGTGAAACAGGCGGTGCGCAGATGCTTCAGCCGCAGACTCACCAGATCATCCATGCTACCACACTTCTCTCGTATGCGCCACCACAACATGCTGTGACACTTACCAACCACCACACTGAAACGAAAACATAGACGCAAATATTACAAATACCAACATGAATTTTAAAAGTGATAGATTGTTTATCTTTAAATGATCTCAGCGCCTTGCAAATAATTATTGCATTATATCAGACAAAGTAAAACGCTGCCATCCATAAATAATACACAAAATTTATTGTTACGACTTACAAATCAAGAGCATTATATAGGAGATCTTGGAAAATCTTGTTTGTCTGCCAATCAAGGCTATGCCTTCGAATAATGTCCTCCCAGCAATCAACTAGAACGTCGTTCAAGTAGGTTTGCATCTCTTGTAATGGTTGTGATGCGGCCGCTTCCGCCTGCCAGTGATGAAGTCTGGCTGCTACACTATCCAGCACAGGCTGGTGGCTGCTGAAGCTGTTCAGGAACTGCTCAGCTCTGTGTGAAACATAAAAACATCAATTACAAGTGAAATAGAAATTTAAAAAGACGTTTAAAGTAAAACCAGAATGTTCAGCCTCACTATCATTTTTTCCCCATCATTGTAGAGTGAGAAATTATTGTTAAATAAACATGAGATGAAGACATTTTTCGACAGGGGCAGCTTAAAAATCTGAATTCTGTCTTTCATAATTTCTGTTATTTAATTCAATGAAATTATAGCCTATAATTTTTGTTAGTGGTTTGAATGTTCATGTTGGTAGACTCACTCTTCATTGGTCGTGAGCCGGACAGAATCGAGATGAGTGTGGAAATAAGTCTCCTCTTCAATGGTAGAGTCCAATACTGCAGAGACAACCAATATGTGAACTAGACTTTCCTGCAAGGAAAATTGTTCATTGCATGAATGATACAAGTCATAAAAAATTTTTGAATTCATAACCTAAAGCTGCATTAATTTTCAAATTTGTATCTTTTGTATAGAGCCTCATTTGCAATTTTCAATTTAGTCTATTTTCTGCATAAATTCTGGAGGCCGCTTGTCTTCTCAGCTGCTTCATTTCTACACCCTGAAAATGCTCAGTGATGTGCGAAATACATTGCCTGATTTTATGAACCTTATTTGGAGCAATTTTAAGGCTTGTTGACCCTACTATGTACCATACTATACCAATTATTAGACAGCAAGATCAACTAAACTCTAAAAATTGTTAAATAAAATTGCATTCTTCTCAATCAATCTCAATTTTAAAATGTAAAAACTTTAGCAGCAACTCCTGTTTGGGATAAAAGCATCTTACAAAATGTTGAACATGATAGCAAATTTTGTGTTTCAAATCACGAAAACAACAAAGTGCTCATCAATAAGCAAATCCTCATTTCAAGATCAGATGATCGTTATATTACCTCCATGGTCTCAAGGTAAATGTCATTGATGGGTATTCTTGTGGTATGCAAGCCAACACCTGACTGTCTTCCATGCTTCTCATCTTCATGGTTGCAGCCTCCTGATGTACCACGATAGATGTGGCTATGACGTACCAACTCATTCTCCGTCAATTCATATGTGATGCTCTTGCCACATCCCAGACTTGTAAACACTCTTTCAGAAACATGGAATATTGTTTTAAAAGGCACTCCATTACTTAAACTTTATAAGTATAAGTAGTAGGTAGGTCAAAATTTTCCTCAATTTACATATTTGAATGATAAAAAAGTGTCAGTTGAAAAATGGGTAAAATGGGCTTAAATATACTCATTTCTAAACTGGCTTGATACTTACCCTAACTGAGAAGTTTGATGCAAAGCATGACATTCTGGAAAGACACAGACATGATTAAATTACAAAAAAATTGATAACCTATTCCAAATGTATCTGCATCTTGAGTATAACTTTAATCTTACTGGTCTGAGGTCTCAGAAGGAGTAACCTGTAAAATTAATCTATTCTCAATAGCTCAAACAACCAAAAATATTTAGGCAAAGATAAAGAGATAAAATTCAGGCACTTACTTGCATTTAATTGAAATGACACAATAAACAATTATAGGGTAATACTAATAAACAAAGGATTTTAATGAAAAGGTCAATTTCCATTTTGAACTCTTCATCAAAAAGCATCTATAGAGCAGAGAATTAATGCCAACTGGAATTTGACTTTGGCCAGCATTAGAATGACTTGGCCCATAGGAAATAAAATGAGAACAAAATCATAAATGTGGGACAGAGCCACCCAACCAGTTATTAGCTACATGAGAAATAAACATAACTTATGACAGATCTTCATATACGGTAATTGATGAATTATATCAGTTCACTCTGCTATGCAATCAATTTGACTTGCTGACACAAAAACATGCATACACATGGCAGTAAAAATAAGAAAATAGAAAACACACCAACAAAGTGTTGGCTGAAGACTTCATGGCTGTCTAATGCATCACTTGTAGGAATGCAGATCCTCCACTCTGGTTCTCTCCATACTTTTAGCTCCTTGCTATAATGTTTCTGTAAAATAAAGGTTCAAACTGTAATAACAGAAGACTAAGCAGAAATTTTATCTAATAAATAACATACCCAGGTATATACTTATTTCAATAAAAAATGAATTTATACTTCCATAAATATTTTTCATACAAGCTTTTTTATTAACAAAAGAATAAACAAAGAATTAACATAATTAGGCTCACCTTCAGATGTAGAAAGAAGGCATTGTTCAGTAAAACTTCATTAGTCATATTTTGCTCCTGCATCATAAAATTCCATCCAGTTCTGGCATTTTGCTTTGAAGAGGTAAAACAAAAGTTCAGTAAACCAAATGGAAAATTATACCTGATATAAATGAAAAATGTAAACTTTAGTTAGTTAGGAATCAATACAATTCAATCTCAACTGCATAGAATGGAATTCAATCTTTCGAGGATAACTCTCATTAAGCCAAGCAGCTGGCACAAAATTGAATGCAGGACAAAATGCAGGAATTGAAAAATATCATTCCTGCAGACATGAGAACTCCTTGAACATAGATGACATGGCTCCTGGTTCTTAGAGCACTGTGATCTTTTTACAAAATTGCCAGAAAATCTAATTCAACTAAGAAGCCACTTAACAGCAAAATTTGATTTACAGAGTTGAATGTTTTAAGTTGATCATGACTTTGACTAGGCCATTCCATGACATTGATGTGATAATCCTCAAAACATTTCATTGCCATTTTCCTTGTGTGCTTCGGATCATTATCCTGTTGAAAAACCAAGAAAAAGTTTTTCCAAGAGAAAGTTTTTCTGCATCCTTCATTCTGCACGATGTTATTTTTGATAATATCAAGATATTTTTTTTATGATTCCGCTTACTTGAATCAGACTTCTTGGTCCCCTAGCAGATGGAGAAACTCTGAAAATAAGATTCTCACCCCTATGTTTAACTGTGGGGATTGCGTTTTTTTTATTATTAGCCTCATCTTTTTTTCTCCAAACATAAGCAACATCCATATGCCCTAATATTTCTTCTTTAGTCTCATCTGTCCACAAAATATTGGAGAAAAATGAGGTTGGGGAATTGACATGAGTTTTAGCAAAAATCAGATATGCTTTCACATACTTTTCTGTTAGCAAAGGGGTTTATCTGGGTCAACAACCCTTTAGTCCATCGTGACGCATTGTTCCTTTACAGTTTACAATGTTTTTCTTGATACCTTCAAAAGCATCCAAATTTGACAGAATTTTGTTGCTAGTGATCCTAGGATTGTTGCAAATGGAGCGTATTATGTTTCAGGCACATCTAGGGGAGATTTTTCTTTTTCTTCCTTGACCAACCAGGTTATCCACAGTGATAAATGATTTTAATTTTTTTATAATGCTCTGTATTGTAGAAGTAGAACATAAATTTCTTAAATATTGCTTTATATCCCAGCCCTTCTCTGTGAGAATTTGTAATTTTGTTTTTGAGATCATTAATAAGCTCTTTTTTTCTTTGCCATCTTCAAACTTTTAGCAAAATTTTAGCTTTTCCCTAAATTTCAGAAAAAAAACATTATTTTCAGACTGTACTGAGAAAAATATTACCATGTTTATAATAACACCAAATTTTGCAATACAATTATTGAGTATCTACTGCTATTTTCATTGCCAGTTCTTCTTAAATATCAAGATAAATGATCAGGAAAAAGAGGGTACAAATATTTATGAAAAGAGGGTAGGTACATTTGTACATTATAATGACAACCTTCCCTAGAAGAATGAGTTGTAAATGATCTTTATTGTTCTTTAAAATTGGAATTGATTATATTTCTGAAGGTTGACCATTAAAGGGCCCCCGGCAGAAGGGGTAGGTATGAATAATTTTGGGCACACCGCACAAGTGTACTGTCAACTGGGTCTACTCGGGACGGTTTTGAGCATTTTCGATAATAACTTCTTACCATGAAACATTTCATAAACAAGTTTAGGCTCATTTTATAACTCTTTGCGAGGGCTATCGAATGGCATCTTCAAAAAATTCCATATCTATTTGTAAGGTGCCAGAAGCAAAAAAAGGGTGTCCCGAGTAGCCCCATCAAACGGGGCTACTCAGGACACTTGGAATAAAACTTCATTTTAAAATATTTGAAGCATGCAGAGTGTACTCATCCATTACTAACAGTACTCTGAAGTCCTCCTCTTTCATTGTAGATGATGTAGAGGTAGAATAAATGACATTTTCTGTGATTTTTACTTGTTTTTCCTTTATTGATATGATATTACCATATACATTGATTACCGTATTATTGATGCAATGTTACCGTATTATTGATGCGATATTACCGTATCCATGAACATGCCATTGAGCATTTACAACAACCTTGTCCACTGCAAGCTTCATATCAGCAGCCTTATAGCATTTTTTCTGCATCTGTAAGCTTACAGGAAGGCTTGTAATTTCACACCATTTTAATTTGGTTAAGTGAATTTACTATAAAAAAAAATCATGAAAAACATAGGTACCTGAAACAGAAAGGAATCTTTTAGTGACAACCATCATATGTTTTGCAGAAATAAATCATAGTTTAGGTCAATTACTTTTCATTCTATGATGCCTGGTGCACAATTCTATATATGACATTCTATGCACAATTTTGTGATGACTGATGATGCACTAATTTTTTGATAAGTGAAATTTTTTTCCCCAAGCGAGGTAAATGTAATCAATATTCTTTGTTTTTAATCAATTTTTTCTTAACTGGAGCCTATGCTTACTGAGGTTCTACTGTAAGTGCGTTTTTGGGGGTGTCCCAACTCCCGAGTAGCCCTGCCGTGTGGAAATGGCTGCCATTTTTTTTGGATTAAGGTATGTAAATTCTGCAAATAAAGTTTTCAAGCCGACACCTGGGGCCATACTTTCAAAACTCGTTAAGTGAACATAAGGACTTAAGCTCAATTTTCTTGTCTATGATTGGTGGATTCTGCTTAAAAGGCCGTCAATGATTGGCTGATGAACTTACGATCTCTTAACTTTTTTTGAAAGTATGGGTCCTGCGTGCAACTTTTATGAAAGTAAAATTTTTTAATACGGCAAATATTTTTTTACTACAGACCTTAGCAGAAGTAACTTTTCAAAATAGCATTTTTTACCATTTTTTTCAGGAATTTTTCAAAGCTAGTATATGTAGTATTTTTTGACTTCCTTTATACTACATAGGTATAATCAAATGGGGTAAGACAGGATCGCAGGCTTCATGGGGTAAGAAAGGACCAGCCCATGGCATGCATTCTAATTGCACTGAATCTAATTTGACAAAAGAATATGTTAAGAGCAATCATTGCTTGTCATTTCAGTGTTTGTTTCAACCCTCTTCTGCAAATAATGAATTTCTGGCTAATTTTTAAAGAAAACCTATGTAAAGAAGGCTCACAAAATAGTTAACCCTGTTTGGGAAATTAGTTCTGTCTAATGACAAAAAAATTTTTGGCTTGGTTTGTGGATGTAGGCAGGTAACCTCAAGTAATAAGCAACATTTGAGACATTCTAGGCATTCCTACCTTCTACCATCACTGCCTGACATATATTCTAAAATGGGGTAAAAAAGGACCGGACATGGGGTAAGACGGGACCACTAAATGATCCTGTTTTGCCCCACAAGTGGTCCTGTCTTATCCCACAAGTGGTCCTGTGTTACCCCACAAATGGTCCTCTCTTACCCTACAGTTCATCAAAAGTAGTTTTTAAATGAATATATTATTGTGCAGTACCGGTACATGGAGTATTTTGGCCGAAATTTTTATCTTTTGCTCAAACTTCATTATAACTTGTTAGCTGTTTTAATTAGAGAAATTTAGTGCACTATTTTAAATTGCATCAAAGGGATGGATAAAATAGGGATGTCTCTTCCCATTAGTGAGCTGCAGAACTATGTGCAACATTGGTTGGGAGAAAAGTCATTGTGTGAAACATGAAAAATAATTATGATCACAACTCTGTGAGAGACCATGAACTATGTTTGAAGAAGTGCACCACAAATGCAGTTAGCAAGAAAACATATGATGTATGAGACTAAGTTATTATGCATTGGTTTTATTACCAATTTGATAAATTTTTCAAACAATGACATTATGACACTAATGGAATATACATGAAGCATTTAGCAGTGCTCTACAATGAACCAAAGCCAACCCACTATTACTATGCTTAACAAAGTTTTCTCATGACAAAAACTCCAATGTGACTGATATTAGAGTTGACTTCCCACAACACAAAATAGTAACAAGTGGTTGTTTAATCAAATAATGTGTTTCTAGATGGATAATATTGAATATCAGATTTGTACTTTTATGAAAAACTTTGTAACATAAGAATTACCTGTTGGTCCTGTCTTACCCCATGCCTGGTCCCATCTTACCCCAGTGGGGTAAGATGGGACCAGCTCACTTATTTCAATCTGTACAGAAAACTGTGTTGGATGCAAAATGTCTGAGTAGTAGCTTAGAAGCCCATTGCATAAATACACCTTGTGATAGGTTTAGGGTTTTTTAGTTATTCATGGTATAGATGCTACAGGCTTGTTAGTGATTTTGGTCCTGTCTTACCCCATCTGACTATACCGTAGGAAAAATGTTGACGTTTACGCACCTATATTTAGTTTTGCAATATTCCAATTAGTTTTGGCTGTTTTGCTACTATTACTAAAACAGTTTTACGCCGTGTCGGAGGACTGTCCCGAGTTACCCTGCCAGTCCCGAGTAGCCCCAGTTGACGGCATAGTGACAAACCAGGGTTGGCAATGATTAAATCAAAATGATTAAATCAAGTGATTAAATCACTTGATTTTTTTATAAAAAAATCATGATTTTTTTGATTTTTTTGATTTTTTTGATTTATTTGATTTTTTCATATATTTAAAAATATTGAGTAGCAGTCTTTAATTTATATTGAGGTATTGTTATTCAAGGTTTAGTATATATGTACTATGAATGACAAATTGGTATATAAACTTGTTGCCTTTAGTGTGTATTAGGTTCCAATAAATGGAATTTTTTTGGTACAGAGGCATCAAGAGTGCAATACATTGTACGTAGCTAGCAGCTTAGCTAATTCTTAAAAGGCTATAAGTAGTCTTAACTATTTGACTATTTGTTATATATTGATTACAATATACAATTTAAATGTGTTAGCTAGCTTATACAGGGTGGGGCAGAACTGATTAAACAGTTTTGAGGCAAAATAAAAGAGTAATGGAGGTACATAAAGAAGAAAGTTTATTTTCCTCATAATTAGCATAACATACCATTTAAAATACTTATGTTTTGAAAACAATATCAGGAAGATGGGGTTTGTTAGCTGCATCACACTGTTGGAGTTGTTCTCGGAAGTTTCCTACAGCACGTTCACACATATGGCGAGGTATGGCTATGGCCATAACCTCTGCTGCAATAATCTGTTCCCTTAGCTGTGGT